GGAAATTATATGAAAAAAGTTACTACCAGTTCAACTAGTGCAAATATTACAAAAATTCATACTAGATTAAACTTAAGATAATAAATCCCTTTTTTTAACAAAATTTACTAAAGAGTTCTACATATATGTTGTTTTATTTATAGTACGATTTTTAAGTTTGATTCTCACCATATGTGATGAAGAAGCCACAAAAGCATTAGCAAGTGGCTTTCGGGTCGCTAACGCGTCCTACAACTATTCTCCTTTATTAATAAAAAAAAATATTAAACAGAAGCGATGCGAAGACATTATAAATACTAGAAATGTCTTAAATTAAAAAAAAAACGGTAAACAGGGTTTTAATTTAAGTAAAGAATTTCACAAGCCTAGTTTAAATCTCTGGCTAGTTTAAACCTCTCTACTCAAGCAATTACCAAAGAAAGAACAAACTCTTTGACACAAGTACAGACATTTTTTTAACTAAAAGTAATTTTTTAAAGAAAGAAAGGTTTCCAATTATAAAGGAGAGAAAAGTAACAAAAATAAGTTTATTATTTTAACAAGAATTCGGTTACCAGTACGATTGCTCCGGTTAGTACAGAAAAGCTTTTTACTATTTTAAAAGCTGCGGGTCGAATAAGCCAAAAAGAATCACAGTAAACAGGCAAACACAAGCTTGAAAGAAAATATCAATGGTAGTATCTGTTCCTGAAGTAATAAATAAGCAGAAGTTTACTGGTAAAAATAATAGTGCTTAAAAATTTACTTGAGAGGGTTCTCAAGTTGAACCATCTGATTTTAACATAAATATTGTACCGACTTTAAACTATAAACAAGCAGGTAATGGTTTACACAACAAAAGTATAATATAATAAAGAACAAATATTTATGACTCAAGAACAGAATCTGTACTTAGTCTGATAAATGATCTTAACGGTTTTTTCTCTTTTTAAGAATTTGAGTATTGCGTAAAAAGGTTGATGCTATTGATTATAGGAGACAACTTATAAGAGAGGAAAGAGAAAATGTTAGTGAAGCAAACAATAATAATGTCATTACTAAAGTCCAACCTTTCCAATTAAAAGAAAATAATCGTAACTTGAGTAATATATCTATAAAACTAATTCTCGCCTTAACATATTTAAAGAAGAAAATCTTAAGAACCTCCTAAAAGTATAATTCGCTTAGTTCATATTAATATAAGTTGTTCGCCCACTTCCAACCTTTTTTCAAGTATTTCTTATTTCCATTGCAGAGGAGGAATTATTTCAAAGGAAAAAGATTTAGCTCTTAATAGTCAATATTTATATTTTTCTAATATTACCTTAAAAAACAAATAAATATTCCAGTTTTCAACGAGAAAAGAAGCGGACTAAATGAATATAGTAATAAGTATTCTAGTGCCACTTGGATTGATAAATTTACTGATAAACTTAAAATATTACAGTAATAGTATTTCTTTTTCATCTGACTTTAATATTGAGTGAAACGATATAAGAAGTATACGTAAGCTCGTAAAGATGAAGATTTAAAGTTGTTTTTGTTATTATTATTATATAAAATTTTTTAAAGTAAAAAAAAATTGAATTATTTTTATATATACAAAAAATTATTTTTATGAAGAAACAAAATATTTTTTAAAATTTCTTTTTATATTTTATTATATAATTATTTCTATTCATCTATTGCTTCACTTTTTTTTGTAAAATTTTTTATAATTTTTATTTTAAGCAAATTTTATTGAAAAATAATTAATATTAAACTTTGTAAAATCTACTTGAAATATTTTAGTTTTCTAATAAACTCAAGAGTTTACTAGAAAAGAATATATTTACAATAAAAATATACTTAAGCTTGAAAAAAAATTTTCGTAAAAATTGAATTATATATAAAATCTATACAAAATACTTCACAGTAAACAAAATTATAGTGAAAATAATTTCTACAAATTTTTATATATACCAAAAATTTAGTGAAAAAAGGTATAATAACTTCTTGGTTTTTTTTTTGGCCAAAATTTATAAAAAAAAAAGGCCCCCTTTCTTGTGAAAATTTAATACTAAAGTGAACTGTTATTTTACTTAATTCAAAATGAATTATTTTTTTATTAATTTAAGAGTAGACCCTTTATATAGTTTTAAAAGTTTAAAAAAATATATAAGTAATTCTATTATTAATTTTTATTATAATTTTTTTTAAAATTGGATACTTTTTGTCTAATTAGTTTTAATTTAAGTTAAATATTATGTTTTCGTAATTTCCCCGTGAAAAAGATACTAAAAAATGTCGAATCAAAAAATAAATTTTTATAGAGGATATGCTAAAACCTAAAGTATAAGAGATTTTATAAATCATTTTATAAAAACTTAAATTCTTACACGCTAGTCTTTTTTCTATATTTAATATTATCTCAAATCCCTACATTATTCTTATATTTTTATTTGTTAAATATAAAAAACTTATATCTTTATTAATTTGCTTGATGATTTTAAAATGCTTGTGATCGACCGCCTCTTAATAGAAAGGCATCAGGACTTTAGAAGAAAGAGAGTACTATTATAAAATAAAAGATCGAAAAAGTTTGTAAGTCTTTCGGCTAACTCAAAATAAAGTATAGCTCATGAATATTTAAGTTTATAAATCTCTAGCATTACCATCCTAGTTTTCTCTGCTTGTAATTAATTAGGGTTTGTGCTACAACGCAAAATAAAACGAATAACACAGTTGCTAGCCTTTATCACAGTTATTATAAAAATTCATTATAATTAAATATCTAAATGACTTGAAAATGTATTAAAAATAATTGTATATATAGTATGCACTTAATAACATTTGACCGCAATTTTATAGCACAAAATAGTTGCAGGCAAAATTTGTAACAAACACAAATTTAGCAATAAATAAAAAAAATTATCCATAAAGCAGCCAACCAAAAGTATTTTGAAAACAGCGATTAACAAATGAAAACAATTAATTTAAATTAAATTGAACCAAATATTACCTAATCTGAGCCAAATAAACCAACCACGGCCAATCTTTTTCCTGCAATTACTTTTTTGATACAAAATTACAAATATGGAGAATGTAAAATTTAAAAAAGAAACATTATAAATACGAATCTTCATCAGTTACAGTAAACTAAAGAAAAAAATTTATAAGCAAAAGTGAAAGTAAATTTTTTTTGCCTTTCGTTAAACTGTTAGTCAGACTCCCGCCAGCGTTGTCTCTTAAGTTGACTGTAGCACTTATAACAAAACTGATAAGGAGAGGTAGCAAGTTGAACTATTCTGCAACTGTACCCGAAAGACAAAGGCCAGGGAGACTGGACGTGCAGTTCGCTCTTATAATACTTGAATAATCAGCTAAATATGGTAATGTGCTTGTACTAGCTTTTATTTGTGCACCCTTGTTGGACCAAAGTAAAAATATTCGCCATTTTGTAGCTAACAAAGTGAGTTTTTTGCTCTTGCGTTTTTCTCTTGTTTTTTCTTTTTTTTAAAACGGGATGTCGAGCTATACTTAACGTAGAGCAAAATAGTCAGTGCAGTTTAGTAAATAAAATTTTATAAGCTTAAATAATCTCTCTAATGGATCTAATACATTTAGAAATTTCACTATAAAAATATTTTTTTTATATTTAAAAGTTTTTTCACTTAGTAGTGAGCTGTTGAATGCTATTATAAACAGTTTGGGTTAACCTTATAAAATTAAAACTATATCGAAAAAAGGAGCCCAAAGAAAATTTTGTCTTTTAACTCATTTTCTTTTTTAATATATTTTTTGCGCTTCTGTCTATTATTCTTATATTTCTCTTTACTTAGTTTATACCTTAATATACTTTTAATTTTACTTTTTTTACCACAATTTTAATTCAGTGAACTTGAGGTTAGCGTTTAGACCGCTACTCATAAGCCAAGTTGTCGACTGTCTACGCTGACAAAATTTGACACTGCTAGCTTTATAAGTAAAGCTTTTTGCAAAACAATCGTATAGACACTGAAGATTTTTATTTAATAAAGTGAAAAGCGCTTAGTTTTCAAGCCTGATCTCTTGTTTCTTACGTTCGGGTTCAAACATGAATTATGTAAAGAGAATCTTAATAAAAAATCTCTTTCACTTGGTCTTTTAAAGAACTTTTTGAAACCAGCCTGGTCTTATAATTGTATAAACTCAAGCAGGTTCTAACTTAACGTATTCCCAATAATAGCATTACTACATTATATATAGCTTATCAATTTAAAGTAAAGCTCACTTTGAAAAATAATTTTTTAAAACATTGAAACTATTTGTTAATCTTAGAAAATAAAATCAAAAAATGAATTAGAATACCTGAGTAGTTTAAGGTAAATAGTTAATAATGGTTGGAGTTTGGCCAAGGATGGAATACATTTGTTAACAAATATTAGAACTATAAGTTACCAAACAGCTCAAAAACTTTATATCGATCCGTTTAGCAAAGTTCAAAACGCCAACGCGTATATATTTAAGGTAATTAACAGAAACGTTGTGAGAATCGTTAACGAAATTTGTTATGCACAGCCTAATAACTACCACCTCAAAATTTTAGTTGAGGATCGAGTGAAGCCAATATAATAGTTATACATTTTGTACTATAGTGGAAATATAGTAAATCCTTTTGACGAACATGAGTTATATTAATAATGATCTTTCCATTGCACGAGTTAATTTAGACTGAAGGCACCGTCATTGGTAAAGTATCCGATTTTTAAAGTAATTACTGGCAAGAGGAAAACAATAAATCTTTATGCCTTTTATAATAGCAATCTTATCCAAATTCCTAGTAGAAAATTGTCTGGTGCTGTAGAATTATAACCAATTTATGTGGAATAGTTCATAACTAAATAATTATTATAGCCACTTAGAACGTAATCTATTTTTTATTAATAATTTATGAAGATTTAATAAGGGTTTAATATTAATTTAATATAAATTTTAATAAAAAAATTACTTATAAAAACTAATTCTCCAAAAATATACGAAAAAAAATAGAAAACAAAGAATAGATAGTAAAATAATTTTATTATTTCTTAATTTTGTACAATTTTCAATCTTTTTTTTAATAGTTTGTATTTCATTCCAACTTATCAATGGACGGCCGTGTAAAAGTTTCGGACCGCTTGAGATCGTCATCCAGCGAAAGCAAGTCGAGCAAATATGATATTGATTTAAATTTTCCTCTATTAATTGAGGCCCACCGGCTGAGCGTTAACTTTCCTTTTACGGAACTAAGGCGATTCTGAATTATAAAAATTTATAAATTAGTAATTTAAAAATTAACTTTTTTTAAAATTCTTTTTTTATAGTTATGTTTTTTTTAATATAATTTATTAATAAAAAATAAATTTTTGTTTAAAAAATTATAACTTTTATCTTATTATTATAAATTTTAACTATATATTATAAATTATAATAATTTATTTTATATAATTGTTTTTCATATTTTTTTCTTTTAGTTGCTATTATTATTAGTATAATTTTAATTTATTAAATAACTTATTACAAATTATTTTTTTTTATATCCCCTTTAATTTCTTCTTTTTCTTATTATTATCATTATATAAAATTTTTTTATATTTAAATTCGTTTATTATAATTTATATCAAGTATTGTTTTGTATATTATTTTCTTTTATTTCTTATTACTATTAGTATAATTTATAATTTTATTATAAATTATAGTTATTTATATTCCCTTTAATCTCTTCTTCTTATTATTTTTTATTATTTTTAAATAGAATTTATTAATTGATTTATTTTATATTATTACTTTCTATATTTCTTTTCTTTTGCTTTTTAAATTATTACTATTAAATTTTATATTTTTTATTAATTATAATTTATTACTCCTTTTCCTTTTTCTTATAATTATTATAATTATATTTTTTTAAGTTTATTTTACTCTAACTTATTTCATAAAATTTGTATAATTTCTTTCTTATAATTGTTGTTTTCAATTTTTTTTTAATATTTTATTAATCATAAATTAGTTCTATATTTTATTTTTTATATATTATTTTAATTTATTATATATATTATAATTTATTATTATTATTTAATTTTATAATTATTATATTGATAATATTTTTATATTTTCATTAATTTTTTACCTCATTCCTATAAATTATAAAATATAATAATAATAAATAACAAATTTTTTTTAAAAGTAAATAAAAAAATTCTAAACAAATAATAGAAAAGTTTTTTACTAAAGAATTCTATAATAAAATTAATTATCATTTACTTTAAATTTATTTATTACTTTTATTTTTATTTGTTATTTATTTTAAATATAAACTTTATATTATTTTATATTTTTTTATTAATTATAATTATAAAAGATGTATTATTTTTTATAGAATTAATTTTTTTATAATTTTCAGATAAAAATTTATTATTTTTTTAGAAATTGATTTTTTTCTAAGTAAAGGTTGTATTATTTTTTATTATTTACTTTATAAAATTTTGTAATTATAATAATTATAATAATAAAAATAATAGTTATAATAATAATAATAATAATACCAAAAATAATTTCAAATCTTCTTCATTTTCGAGCTTCCTTATATCTTCTTGGTATTCTAAAAAGCCCGGAACGTCCAGAATTAGTTTTTCAAGAGAAAACTCATCAATACCAGAAGGAAAGTACCTCCATAATAATAATAATAATAATAATAATAATAATAATAATAATAATAATAATAATAATAATAATAATAATAATAATAATAATAATAATAATAATAATAATAATAATAATAATAATAATAATAATAATAATAATAATAAATAAGAATGTGTTAAATTGTTATTAATTCGAACCTTTTAAGTACAATTAAGTAAAGTTGGTCCAAATAATGACTTCCTCCGGACTTTTTTAAAGTTGAGAATTTTAACGATCCAGTAGGAGACGAGCGCTATTATTTTTAATTTATTTAATAAATATTATTAACTTATTTGTTTATTTATTATTATTAATTACTTTTATTATAATGCAGTTCCTATAAATAAAGGATAAAAGTTATAAAAAAAAAGTAATAATAATCAAGAAAAGTTTTAATAAAAAAATTTATAAGAAAACTTAAAAGGAACAAAAAAAACTTAAACTTTTGTATATATAAAAAATATAATATTCTTTAAAAGGTATAAAATGAAAAAAATAATAAAAATAATAAAAATTTTTAAGTAAATGTATTTCTAATAAAAGTTGCTAATAAAGTTTTCATATAAAAGTGAAATGATTTAAATTAATAATGATGATAATAATAATAAATAAATAATAAAAGGACAAGAGATTGAAGCTCCCCGCGACGCTCCAATAGCAGCGAATTTTTATATAAATCCTCTTCGCGGATAGAATGCGATAAAAAGCGGCTGCAAAGTCCGTAAAGGAGCGGAAGTCGTTCGATATGCGGATTTATTTCTTTTGAAGGAACAATTTCTTTGCATCGTTCTATTTCTCTGATAAATATGATAATGATAATAAAAATTAATAATAATAATGATTATAATAATAATAATAAACTTTAAACTCTGAGCAATCGCGCGCATTTTTTGAAAGTTAACGAACCCTCCGCCATTTAACCACGTGTCCTGGCCGGATTCGGTATAAATCAAGTCTCGCAGGTATAAGCCTCTTATTATTATTACTGTTATTACTGTTCTTATTATTACTATTACTATTATATATATTAAAGTAAATATAATTATTTATTAAAATTTAAATAATAATAGTTTTTATTAATATTACTGTTATTACTAAAAGTAAACGAATTAATATATTTTTTATAATTATTATTATTATATTTTATTATATTTATAAAAGTAAATGTATATATTTATAAAAAATTATTTAATAATAATTATAAAAAATAATATAAATAAAAGTTTACAATATATTTTCCTTTTTATAAATATTATTTTAATTAAAGTTTTATATTTTTACCAAAAAATTTAATATAATAATGACATAAATTTATTAAGAGCTTTTTATAATTAAAAAACTTTTTTACTTTTCATATAATAATAAAATAATAATTATTTTTGTAAAAATTTTAAAATATACTAGATCTTATATATATATAATATCAGAAAATATATAATACTTATATTTTTCAAATATATATAAGATATAATCAATTTTAATAGATATAATAAAAAAAACTTTAAAATTTAGTAAATATATAAAGTTTCTATAAAGTATATAAATTTTTATACTTAAAAGAAAGACGATTAAGAAGCATGTAAGACAAAAGTAACCAATAAAAATCATATAAAGAATAACAAAAACACTGGTCGGATAGGAAACCTTGAAAGTGAGCAAAAAATAGCCAATTAAAAGGCTTAAAAAATGTAATAAAAAAGTAAGTTAACGAATCCAAAGACTTAGGAGGGTATCAGTAACCAATAAGGAAATTTAATGAAGAAAAGAGAATTTCAAATTAACAAGTTAAGAGCCTTAAATGAGTGTCAGCAACCAATTAGAAAACTTTAAAAAAATAATAATAGAATTTCCAATTAACAAATGAAAAGCCCGAGAAGCACATGGAGCCAAAATGAACTAATGAGAAGGCATTATAATACACTGAAAATAAAGATTTAAAATTATTACTACAAATTATAAATCTTTATTTTTCATAATAAAACTTTTACTTTAAGATTTTATTATTACTATTATAAAAACCAAATAAATAATAAATAATTTCGGAAATTCAAACTAAATAATATGTAGTAAATTCTATATTATTAACATGATAAAGTTAATAAAAATATTTATATATTTCATCATCATCATCATAATAATAATAATATAATAGTAATAATAATAATAATAATAATAATAATAATAATAATAATAATAATAATAATAATAATAATAATAATAATAATAATAATAATAATAATAATAATAATAATAATTTACATGTAGGGAATACAGAAGCCACGCGTATTATTCTGGACGTTTCGGTAGGATTGATAGTTAAAGGCGGGGTTGGTAAATGCCTTAAGAGCTTTGAGCACATGCTTATCTTTCTCGGTCACGTGGGCCCACGTGCGTTTTAGACGTTCAATTGTTGTGTGTTGGAGTGCCCCGTCGATGGCCATCATGGTGTTAAAGTTGCACTTTTCCTTTAATATCTTTTAAATATTAATAATAACGTTAAAAATAATTATAATGAAAATGATAATAACTATCATAATTATAAAGAAAATATATTCAGTAAAATTAAAGTAATGCAGAGCCACTATCAAGCACTTATAACGAAGTAAACTAAAAAATTACAGATTAAAAAAATATTATATATTTAATAGACAATACAGCCAAAAAACAACCATTCAAATAGACTATAAAGCACCAATTAAAAAACTCACCGTGGCCAGCTCGGCAAAGCGGGCAATGGCTTGAGCACGTGTAGCCGGATTGTAAAACGAAAGGATGGTGCCGACGACCCAGAACGACACGTGGTTAAAGTGGTCGATCATCTGGAAAACTGGGCAGGTGGGGTCGTGAGCTGTCCAGCGCTTGTCCTTCAGGTCGCTCTTCTGAAGTTTATAAAATTTTTCGAACTCCATAATAGACAGTTGATCGGCCACGTGCTCAAGGGGCAGGTGGAATACGTGAGACCTATAAGCAGGTTCGGCCGGCGCTTGTATCGGAGTGCATTGCACTTTCAGCTTATTGGCTAGTTCAAATTTACTGGAGACGTGAAGGAGAAATAATTTTTTTTTAAAATATCATAAAAAATTAATAAAAAAACAATTATTATAATAATATTAATCGCTTACGTCCACCGTTCTAGGGTGATATTAAGCAATTCGAGAAACATTATAGCATTATCAAAGGAAGTATCATTTTTGAGAATATCAAAAAACCGATCAATTTTTTCTTGCATTGCTAATAATAATAATTATATTAATGATAATAATATTAACGACTTTATAAATAGTAATAATAATAAAAAGTGTTAAGCAGAAAAAATATTATTAAAAAAAAATGTTTTATAATGAATAAGTATTTCATAAAGACAAAGTAATCCAATTAAAGTATGACTTAACTAAACGCTAATCAAATAAATAATAAAGCTTGAGGGTAGAGTTTATATATTATAAAAGCATTATGTTTACTTTAAATAAATCAAAATAAATAATAAATAAATAAATAAAGTATTACTAAAATTATATAAAAAATATAATTATTAATTATACTAATCATAATCGTTAAGCTCATAAGAAAATAAAAAATTATCTAATCACTTAAATAAAAATAATTGATAAGTTGTAAAGGGCCAATAAAGTTAACTATAAAAATAATCTTAGAATTTTTATCCAATAAATATAGAGGAAACTTAAGTAACAGAAATTTATAAGATATTTATTTTTTTAAGGCACCAATAAAAATTGAAGTTTATTATATAATATGCAATCAAGTAATAGTCTAAAAAATTGTTAAGGTATTAGTATACACCAAACTAAAATAAGAACAAAGCAAATATTTATTATTAATTAATGAAAGAATAGATGTAGATATTCTTAATAATAATAATAACAATAATAACTAATAATAATAATAACAATTATAATAATAATGGGAATAAAAATAAAGAATACCAATGCTCATAAACTGTTCTGCTTTTTCTTCCAACGCCCAGTCTGGTCTTTAAAAAAAGTTATTAATAATAATAATAGTAATAATAATAATAATAATAATAATAATAATAATAATAATAATAATAATAATAATAATAATAATAATAATAATAATAATAATAATAATAATAATAATAATAATAATAATAATAATAATAATAGTAATAACGATATTAATACCTCGCAAAGTCTAGAATACTTTGCTGAATCCAAAAGCGAAGTCCATTGCAAATTGACGTTTTGATTCGCGTTTGAGCTTCTTTACAAAAAGTATCCGGAATTTTATAAACCTCATAATAATAATAATAATAATAATAATAATAATAATAATAATAATAATAATAATAATAATAATAATAATAATAATAATAATAATAATAATATACCTCAATAAACTTTTCTAATAGAGATTCGCTAGGAATAAACCATAAATGGGACCTTAAAAGTATATAAATATATAAAAAAGATTATTAATATTTATATAATAAGTATAAAAAAAGTTTGAAGTTATTATTATAACAGATATATATTTGAAGTTTGTTATATAAATAATAGTAATAAACTTTTAAGAATATAAAATAATATTTAATCACTTTTTAATATTTAAAAATTATAATACAATTATTAGTAAAAAGTTTTCTATTATAATAATAATAGTTTTACTCTTTATTATTAATATTATTCTTTTTAAAAATAGCAATAAAAGATTTATCTACAAAAGTATATAAAGTTTATTTTAATATAAAATATAATAAAAAGTGTATTGTTGTAATAATAATAATAATAAAAAGTAAACTTAAAATTTTTATAACAAAAGTTTTACTATTTTTATTAATAACAATAAAAAAAATTTTACGATAATAAAATTACATTAATGTTAATAATAAAAAAGTTTTTGTATATAATAATAAATAATTTTTATATAATAACAGTAATAAGATTTTTTATTAGTAAAAATTAAACTTCAAAATTCTATATATTTATTTACAAATTTTATAATAATTATAATAAAAATAAAAGTAAAAATTATAAATTTTATATGGCAATATAAACAAAATCAATAAATTTATAATAAGTTTAATCAACGTTGTCAAAAAATTATAAATTTTTATTTCATTTTTATAAAAAAAAGTGTAAGCTGTAAGAAATTTATTTTACATAAAAATCACTAAATTTTTTGAAATTCGACGATCCGAAAATAAGGAATTAAAAAAAACTTTTTTTAGTGAATTTTTTTGTTTTATATTTTATATATATTAATTTTTTTAAAATTATCATTTTTTATCAATTATTAATAGTTTTTTATTATTATTTTTACATTCTTTATGTATTATTTTTATTTTTTTAATTAGTACTATTACTTTTTATATTTCATAAATATTTTCTTTATTTTTTATAATTACTTTACTATTTTTGTAAATTTTATATTTATTTTTTTGATAATAAAAAAAATAATAAATACCGCAAAAACTCTTTAGGAAAATTGAAGTCACGTGGAGTAAAGGTGGGAGAGTAACCAAAATAGGAAAGGTAGTGATTGAATAGAAAATTCAAACTTCCGTGCAAAACATTTCCATCAACGTCAAACTCGATCTGTTATAAAAGTTTTTATAAAAATATATAAGAAAATAAAAAAAATATAATAAGTAAAAAATATAAAAATATAAAAAGTTGAAAAAAATATATAAATAGATATAAAATATTAAAAAACCAATAGAAAATATATAAAACTAATATAATAAGTAAAAAAAATTAAAGTTGAAAAAAAAAATATAAATATATATAAAATATATAAAAATAAATATTACTATAGATATTATAAATACAAAAAACTTAGGAAAAGTATTAAAATTAATATTAAAAGTAAAAAATTAAAAAAAAATATATAAATATAATAATATATATAAAAAATAAATAAAAAATATTACTAAATATTAAAATATAGACAAAAGTATATTGAAAAAATACGTATATAAAATAATATAAAAACTAAAAATAGTATACAAAAGTAAAGCAATTTAAAAATATAAAAAAAAGATAGTAAATATATATTAGTATATCATAAAGTATAAAAAAATAATAAAGCACTTTAAAAAATGTATAAAACTAATAAAAAATAAAAAAATGATGTGTGAAAGTTTATATTATGCTCAATCGATTGAAAGTTTTTAAAAAAAAATTAAAATATTTATAATAACCTACAAGTATATAAAAGATAATAATCTAAAAAAATTTCTTAACAAATATAAACATTAAAAAAAATTATAAAAAAGTAAAAAAAATAAACTAAAAAATTTCTAAAGAAATACTAAATAAATATAAAGAAAAGTATACATATAAGAGACTATTAATAAATATTTTAAAAATGTGATATAAAGAAATTTATAACTAATAAAAAAGATTTCTAAATAAATAAGAATATTAATAAAATATAAATAATAAAAAAATTAAAATATATAAGACTAATAAAAAGGAAAAAAAATAATATGAAATGTGCATAAAAAGCATAAATAATAATAAAAATAATAAAAATTTATAAAAATATATTTTAAAATATGAAACGAGAAAAAGTATAAAAAAATATAAATATTAAAAATATACTTAAAATATATAAAATTAATTAAAAAGTATAAAAGAAAAGAAAAAGTTAACGTAATACAAAAATATATAAATAAGAAATATAAGAAATAATAAATATAATAACAATATACTTATTTATAAATATAAAATATTAATAATAAATAAAAAGAAAATATAATTCAATAATTAATAATATTTAAAAATTTATAGAAAAAATAAAAATAAAAAATAATTCTTTAATAGATTATAAGTAGAAAACAAATAGAAATAGTATATACTTTCATAATTATTAATAATAAATATAATATATGTAATAATAAATATAATAAAAATAAATAAAAAAATAAATAAAAAAACAAAAGAAGTAGTAAATATAGTAACAGTTAATAAAAAAATAATAATAAAAAATGAAAAAAGAAATAATAAATATAATAAATATTTAATAAAAAATATATAATAATAAATTATAACTAAAAAACAATAAATATTAAGTAATAAATAATAAAATAATAAACTTATAATTATTAATAATAAATAAAATAAATACTAAATAATATTAAATATAAATTAAAAATATTAATAATAAATAATATTCGAAAAAATAAGATAATAAAATAAAAAAAGTAAAAATTGCATTTTGTTGGTCCATTGCTAATTCCTGCCAATATAGCATCGTTCGGTACGGTTTAGTGTCCACTGGCGCTCCGGAAAGAACCGCTTCCGATTTCACACGTGCGATAGTGAGAAGGTTTTTTTTGGTTTCTTGCGAGGTATTATTGAGCTAATAAATAATAATAATAATAATAATAATAATAATAATAATAATAATAATAATAATAATAATAATAATAATAATAATAATAATAATAATAATAATAATAATAATAACCAATGGAGACGCTTCACTCACAGAAATGGACAGTGTCGGTTTTATCATTGGTGGAAGCTGAGTAATTTCCAATAGGATATCTACCAAAACGTTATGGAAGAAAGCTAAAACCTCTTTTGGAGGAGGCGAGCTTCTATTGGTAGAATCCAACTGAGCGCGGTCAAATAGAGAAAAGCTTTTTAAAGCTTGCGAAAACGGTCGCCCCTTGATAAAGAGGCAGCATAATATGTGATAAAGCGGACCAAATAACATATGAAATTAGTTTTATAGAAATAATAATATAATAATAAATATATAAAAACATTTTTTTCGAGAGGGACTGCTTGAAACGTGCTCAAATGGTCCCACGATTTTCTTTTTTCTTTATTCATATTATATCATTCTCATTATTCTTATTTTTATTATTATTGTTTATAAAAATTTTACAAACGAACCAGAGGTGATGTTCTTTTTATGTTTAACTATTTGCTTATCTAAACTTTTTGACATGCTTTTCTTTTTATAAAAAAGTTATAAAGAATATCAGTTTAATGAACATAATAGTAGTAATAATGGTAATCAAAGTAATCGTTATAATAATAATAACTTCGGTAGTTTTCGTAATAATTCCTTTACTTTCGCTCGTTAAGTTTTTTAATTCTACTATTTTTTATAGTAATAAATAATCGTAATAATAATAATATTATTATTAAATGTATTTATTATAATAAAAGAAATTTAAAAGTAAAAAATTAATAACTTTGAAAATATTATTCATATAAATAAATAACATTTTATACTTTTATTAATAGTTATTATAATATTTCTTAAAAAAATAAAATTTATTTAAAATAAAATATTTTTAATAATATTTTATTGTTATTTTATTTATATTCTAAATAATAAATAATATTATTAAACTTTTATTAATACTCATTAAAAATTTTATAGAAAAAGTAAAATTAATATATATAAAATAAACTTTTCAAAATATTTTTCTGATTTTATTTATATTATAAATAATAAGTAATATTTTTACACATATTTAGATTATTATTATTATAATATTTATTAATAAAAAGTAAAATTTATATATAAAAATAATAAACAAATTTTTTTATTGATTTTTATAACAATATATTTTGTTAATATATTATAATATTCTTTTTATTATTTTATTATACTTTAAAAAATATTATAATATTATTAATAAATATATTAAATTTTTTACTAAACTTTTTCTTTATAATGTTTACTTTTTATAATATTAGATTATATATTATTACAACATAAAAAAATTATTAATATATATATATATGTTTTAGTAATTTTATTATAAAAATAAAATATTATTATAAATATTTCATAATATTATTAAAGAAATCAAAAAAAAGTAACTTTTATAATAAACTTAAAAAATAAATTTATACTTTTTTTTCTTTCTATATAATTTCTATCATAATAAATAAAAAATTTATTCTTTTTATTTTTTAATAATTTTTTTTATTAAAAGCCAATAAAGTACTATAATATTTTAACTTTTTATAATAATAATAATAGAATACAATAAAAATAAATAATATTATTATAAACTTTTATACTTTTCTAATAAATTTTATAATAAAAATAAAAAAATAATTATTATTTATATTTATTATTATTAATAAAATATTTAAGAAAATATAAACTTAATAAAAATTTTGTAAAAATAATAAAAGTTGTACAAATATATATATATATATATAAAGTAACGTGAATTGCGTTCCGCTAGCAACCTTTTGGCTTTGAGGAGCTCCCGCAGAGAAGTTTCCAGAAATTTACTTTGTAAATGAGGCTGATAGTAATAATAAAAAAAAGTGAAGTAAATATATTCCATACAAATAATAATGCAATATAAAATATATAAAAAATAAATAATATATGTAAAAAATATAAATATATAAAATAACTTAAAATAATAAAATTAAAAAAAATATTTTATATAAAAAAATATAACATATATAAACATAAAAATATGCAATATTATAATAAAAAAATAAAGAAAAAATATTTTATTTAAAAAAATATATATAAAATTATAATAATAACAAAAAGTAATCAATAAAGAATATATTTGTAATAATATTTTAAAAAAAGTAAGAAAAATATAAAAATATAATAATAAGGAAAAATAATATAATAATAGTAAAAGTTGATAAACATTTTTTGGTGATTTAAAAAATAAGTCAAAATAATAATAAAATTATAGAAAGTATAAAAATATTACAAAAGTAAATATAATAATAAAAATAATAAATAATATATAATGTAATTATATATAAAAACTATATAAAAATAATTAAAAACAATATAATAATAAATATATTATAAAATGTAGAAAAAATAATAAAAATATTAAAGAATATATAAAATATATATAATAATATGATGTTAAAAAAATATATTCAATAATATTAAAAAATATATATAAATTAAGTATAAATAATAAATATAAAACTATTTTACAATAATATATAAACAAAATAAAAGTTAAAAAATTTAGAAAAAAAATTTATAAAACAAAAATAAGTAAAAATAATATAATAATTAAAATAAAGAAAAAATAATATAAAAAATATAAATTTATAATAAAAATATTAAATGTATATATCATATATATTTAATATATAAATAATAAAAATAAAGAAGTTCTACAGTAATAATATAATACAATACTATAAAAAATATATAAAATTATCAAAATAATAATAAAATAATAATAATAAAAGTAAAAAAAAAATTATAATAATTTAAAAAAATATAAAAAATAAAAAATAAAATTTTATAAAATATATATTCTCTAATATATAAATAAAAGTAAAAGGTACATCAAAATATACTTTTAAATAATAAAATAATAATAATAGTAAGTAAATTTTAAATATAAAAAAATATACTTTTTAAAAAAATAGCAATAAGTAAAAAAATATATAAAAATATACTTTAAAAAAAAATAAAAATAAAATATATATTAAAGTATACTAGTTAATCAAATAATAAAGTAAATATATATATATATATATATAGTACACTTCGTAAGATAATGAGTAATAAGTAAAATTTATAAAAAAATATACTTTTAAAAAAATAAAAATAGTAATAAGTAAAAATATAATAGAAAATTTACTTTTTTTATATAAATAATATTTCTATTAAAATTCTTGTAAATATATAAATGTTTGTAAAATATTATTAATAACATTATAAAAAAGAAAAAAATAATAGATGTAAAGAAAAAAAATACTTTAAAATAAATTTACTACGTTTCTATAATTAAAAAAATTAATTTAATATAAAAATTATAAAAATTTTATTAATAATAAAAAAATAAATAATTTTTATTTTTTAAAATTTAAATGAATCTCCAAAAAAATAGTAAAGTTCTAAATTATTTCAAATTCTAATTTTTCTTAAAAGTACACAAATTAAAACTTTTATAAGAAATAAAATATAATAAGAATTTTATATAAAAAGCAAAATATATATATTTATTGTAATTTTTAGAAAGTATAGAATCAAATTAAAATCAAAACAGATTTATGTAAATCGGTAGTAAAAACTTAAAAAACTTAATAAATTTTTCTAAATCTCATGAAAATCTGAAAAGTAAAAAAAATATTGTTCAAGATAAAAGAAAAAGTTAACTTTTCGGATTTTAAAAAAATTTATAAGTAAAATTATTAAAATAATTATAAAAATTAGTATAATTTATAAAAAAATTTAGTTTAAACCAGAAATATGTATAAAAATGTAAATGCAATAAACCTAAAATATTTAAAAAATATTAAATAATAAATAATCGAGAGATGGTTCAGTATAAATTTATATTTTAACTAAAGATTTATAAAAAGGATAAATAAAATTAAGATGAATTTTCAAAAGTTAAAGTTTAATAGTAAACCTAAAAAAAAAATCGAAAAAAAATTTAAAATCTTTAAAAAAAATTCAAAAAAAAAAAGAATAATATAAATGAAATTAGATGCACTGAAAATTTTAAAACATTCAAATAATAAGTAATGAATATTATATAAAAAATTTATAAAGTAAAAAACTATATGTAAAAAAGTTTGTAAAAAATAAAACTATAAATTTAAATTTAACAAAATAATTTCTATAAAAGATTTGCTACTAAAAATTTTAAAAAAAAATTAATTTCTAAATTAGTTATTTAAGAAATTTCTTTAATGCACAGAAAAGATTAATACAAATGATCTAAAAAAATTATTTTTATATATATAAAAATTAATTATGCAAATAACTAAATTTAAACAAAATTATATTAGTAAGTAAAGAAATTTTAAATTTATAATGAGAAAAGTATAAATTTTAATATTTTTTTAATTTAATTTACATTTAGATGAATAGTTATTATTTTAATAATTTTTTAATTTTAAATTTTGTTTACAGTGAAATATTCACTAAAATTTAATTTTTAAAAAATTAGATTAAAAAATTTTTTTTTAATATTTTTATTAATTTTGAAATTAATTTATAGTAAATTATTTATTAAAATTTATTTTTTAAATTTTTATTAATATTTTTATTGTGGTTTTTAAATTTGAACTGGATATCTAAATTTTTATTAAAAATAAAATAGATTGAAATACAAAAATAAAACAAATTTATATTTTTAATAATATTTTGTATTTAAAAAAAATAACAAACAAAAATATTATAAGTATAAATTAAAAATAAAAAGAAAATTTAAGAAAATTTTTTAAAAAAACAATTCATATTTATAATTAAATATAAAATATAAAACTTTAAAAATAAAAATAAAAATCCTGAAAGTTTTTTTTTACCTTTTTAATTTCCGCAACAACGATTGCCTTTAATTTTTCTACTTCATCTATTAGTTTTTCCAAATTATTCTCAAACTTATAAAAATAAAAAATAAAAAAATATTATTATTTGCTTAATTTTTTATTTCTTCAAAAAAAGTAAATTAAAATTAATTTTTTTTATTTTGATATTATTATTGTTTGTTTTGTTTTTTTTATTCAATTAAAAATTTAATTAAGTTTTTACTAAACCATTATTATTTGTTTATTATATATATTTATTAGTTTATATATAATTTTATAAATATAATAATTATTTTATTATTATTACTCTGTACTTTTTTATTTCAATTACAAGTTTCTTTAATTTTATTATACTTTATTATAATATTATTATAATTTGTTTAAAAAATTCTTTTTTATTCAAATATTGATTAAAAATAATTTTTATTGATTATTTTATTATAACTTTAATTTATTAAAAATTGATTTAATACCAATTTTTTATTATCGTCTTTCTATATTTTTAAATTCTTTATAAATTAAAATTAAAATCAATACAATTAATTATTACATTATGATTATTGTTAAATTTTTAGTATAATATTTATTTATTTATTTTAATATTATTTTTTATGGTATTTTATTTACTTAAAATGAAATTTAATTGTTTTATTATACTTATTAATTATTTAACTATTATTATAATAATAATAACTTTTAAAAATAAAAAACGTAAATTTTTCAATTGTACCTTTGACAAATCTGTTTTATTACACGTTGAAAGAGTTCCATAGAAAAGTCTTGCTTTCGATAAATTGGTATAAAAATCAGAAACTTCAGCCAATTTGGGAGTTAAATTTTTAAAAGCGCTATTAGAATATCACTTAAACTTCATAAAAATATTATACAGAAATATAAAAATTATTATATTAAATAATTTATTCGTTAATTTACAGTTGTATTATCTAAATATTTATTTTGAAAATTATATTTTAAAATTATTAACTTTTATATAAACATAATTATTTTTTAATTATTATTACTTCTTATTTTATATCTATAAAATTTACACTGCTGTCAAAAAAGTCTAAGAGTTTATTTTATAATTACTTATGCGTGTCGCTACGTAAAGCCCAAAGATTAACAAGTTCAGACTTTAGTTGGTTAGTAGCCGAACTAACTTCCATGAGAAATACTTAAAAGATAATAGTTAATAAAAATTTCTTTCTATATTTTAATAGATTATTAAAAGTCGGAAGGCGAATCTCATATATATAGAACGGAAAAGTTCAATTTACTAGCAAAAAAATTAGAAAACAGTCGTTAAGTTTAATTTTTTTTAGTTGAAGCACGCAATTAAAAATGACCGAACAGCGCAGCAACAAATGATGCTAACCTCAAACAAAAAACATGATATCTATTAGTCATTAAAAAAAAAGGTATTTATTAAAATTTTATTAAATAATTAACCGTTCGGTTAATATATTTATATATAAAGTTTGGTGTAATAAAAGCTGTTTATGACGACAAAAATTAAACAACTTCTACAAACGAAGTTTACTTGTATAATATTATTAAACAATAATATATAATATTACTAATATATTACCTTTCAGTAGTCGAGTTTATAATCTTTGCTGATCTGCTTAGATATGAGTAGATTATTATTTGTAGCTAGTTTTTTAAAACTTTTAAAATTGTGTTGATAATAAGACCTTTTTTAAAAAATTTTTAAGCATTTTGATATTATTAGTTTTTAAAGAAAAGTGAATTAAAATAAATACATAAACGTTTCTTAATTTTAACCTAAAAAGGAACAAGGAACCCTTTAAAGCTTATGCCAAAGGTAAAAGTAAAGAAACTATAGAGTTGTAAAATAATTTTTTTTTAATTATTGTTTTAATTAGTTATGTTTTATAATAATATTTTTTATTAATGGTGTATTTAAAATATTTTTTTGGGCCACAGCAGTGAGCTTGTGTCGCGATTAAATTAGAGACATAATAAATAAAGCTTTATAGCTGTTTAGATAGTTCAACCCCGTCGCTTTAAGAATTCTACTATAATAATTATTTTTAATATTATTGATACATTACCAAGTATTTATTTATTTCTTATTTAGTTGTAATGCACACGTAAAAAATATATTTTCTCTTCGTCTCTTGCAGGTAAATAAATTGTCTTCTTTTCTGGTGGCATCAATTTGCTATATTCTTTATAATAAAGCGCTGATTTTTACGTGTTTTAATTCTTTTGCTTTCGATTATTGTTCTGCGATCCTCTTGAGCTATTCCTACTACCTTAGTATCCTTAGTCCTCGTTTAGTTTTTTTTTACCTACAATGTAATTCTACGTTCTTTGCTATCTAGCTTGATGGTACATACAAGCGGCATTCGCTCTCCAACTCTGCTGACACTGACGTATATTATAACTCAAAATTAAACTGCAGTAGCTATTAGATAGGTGCAAACATGTCTTTATATCCTTAAAAAATGGGTTGCAAAAAAAAATGGAAAATTAACTATAAATCCTACTAAATGCCATGTAATGATCATAAAAAAAAAAGAAAATAGCGAATAATTAACAGCTTTTCCTCGGTGCAACAAGTAAAATACCATGGCGTAATTAATTAGTTCAAACTTAACCGAAAGCATCATATTAATTATCTTGTTAAAAAAATTAAAAATATAACTTCTGCTTATATCCTCTTATATGCAAAAAAATTCAAATCTTTAAAATAAACTCCTTAGATATGAAGCTATTATTAAAGACTAATCAAACACCTAGTAGCTGGCCCCCTCCGAGGTTTTGTAAATCTTAATTTTTAAAAAAGGAAACACTTAGGTACAATGGACGACAAATAATTCATTAACACTGTTCCTCATTAATGCAGCGGTTTAGATTATTAACTCATAAGTAAATCTTCACCATTATTTTTTAGTCAAAAACCAAAGTAACTAAAGCAAATCTCATATGCATCAGCGTCTGAATTCCAAAAAGAGTTTATATTATCTATAAAATAAATTTTGCGTTAAAACAAAAAGATTTAATTGAAGAATATTTAGGACTTAACTCGCTTTATCTATATATTGGAGTACAAAAAGTTTTTGAGATAAGTTTTCTACCTATCATCAAAAGGGCATTAATTATAAACTAAGCAATTACAATTAATGGTTTGAGCTATAGAATTGCTCTATAAAAAATTTTTATCCAAAGTTTAGAATTGTTCTTTATTAAGTGCTCTGGTAAAGAAGTCGTTATATACATTTTCTACAGAATTATTTTAAAGTAACCTTGACTTTGTATATAAATATAATATTTTTAAGTAAAAGTAATCTTTTTACATTAACTATTACAAGGTGGCTAACGCATAAACTCTAATATTTTTGAAAACTGTTACTCATATAGAATAAATTATAAGAGACATAATTATTATATAAAGTTCCTTACTTAAAAAAAGTTTATATGAAGAACCGAAAACAATTTTATTTAAATAGAAAAGAAATATTTTAAAGTTCAAATTATTTTAAATAAGGTTTAATATTAAAAAAAGTAATTTATAAGCTCTATTAAAAGGCTATATAGTATATTCCTAGTAAAAAATTTATTTATTAATTAGTAAATTTTAAATAATATAAGTAGTCTTTATAGATTTAAAATTTCATAAGGGTTTAATAATATCAGTTGCTTTAAACATATTTATATAAACATTTTTTCATTCTTTAAAACTGGTCTACGATGGGTATATTAAAATACAGTTTTCATTAGCTTAATATTTTAAGAATCCTTTTACCATATTAAAAAAGTTATAACTTTATAAAGAAACAATTTTTTACGTATATATTTCCTATACTACTTGAATGTTTCTCTAATCAATATATAACTACGTGCTTTCTAAAAAGCACTTTAAGAAGCGTTTGCTAAGAAACAACCTAACATCTTTTCTAATTATGTATTAGTTTATTAAGTATATCAAAGTTTGCGGAGATATTAAATGTTTACTTATAATCATTTATAAAAAATTATTGTAAATGTTAATTTTTTTATTTATTAAACTATGTACTTTTGGCGTGATGTCAGGGGTCTTTCATTTCCTTCACAAAAATTTTCATTAAGTTTTTCCTACCAGGTTTGAGTATAAATATTAATGAGAATAAATAATGTCAAAGAAGAAAATTATCATAAATTCATATAGTTTTATATACGCAATGCAGCAGAAATGGATATATAATTTTATTAAGCTTTAGATAATAACATTAAATATATTACTAAAACTAAAATAAAAACTTTTAAGGTCAAACAGATATTTTAAAACAGTAACACCATTTTTCATGCTATGCCAAAACTGAATAGCTACTGGAAGTACAAAAAAACCAAGGAAAAATAAGTATTTTTTAAAAAAAATAAAAAAATTTATCCAAGTTATCTTTTACTATGTTGTATAGTTTTTGAGATATTTAATAATATTATAGTTGTTAACCTTTACATAAAAAAAAGTAAAAGTAACACGTTTTTACTTTAAAATTTAATCTTCTCTAGTTTATATTAACTATCATTATTTTGTAAAGTATCATTTCTGCTAATAGCTGCAAACATAAACTACATTTATACAGTCTTTTGGAGTTTCTGAAAGCTCTTTAAATATAGCAGAGCGCATACTCTTTACGTAGATGCATATTTTTTTTGCAAAAGGCGCTCAGCAGTGGGCAATGTTATAAAAGTAAACTGAGATCGATTTTCAAGGTATAAAGAAAGAAAAGAAAAGTTTTTACTTAAAATGCTTTCATCATAAAATAGGCATAAAATGCTCGGCGAAAAATGTTTAACCAACCCAAACCCTAACCCTAACTCTTGAGCCTTAACCTTAACCCTAACTGGTCTAAAGCGAAAAATATTTGCTTAAATTTATCGAAGATGGCGAAAAAAGAATAAAAAAAAAAAGTTACCGAAGTGACATTGTGGTTTTTTTTTATATAGATTATCCTAAAATGTATTAGTAAGTCAGCTTCTTCATTGTAAGCAAAAGAAATTAAAATTACACCTTATTTAATATAAGTTATGCCTTAGAGTAGGTAAGTTTGTGCAATGCTTCGGGGAGAGAAAGTAAAATAACGATTCTTATTGTGCTTCATACTTTATATATTTTTTAAAAAAAAATTGTGAACGAAGTTAAGTAGTGTGATAGAGATGCCAGCGCTTAGTAGAATTAAAGCTCACTTATAAATTTAAGTTTCCTGCTAAGCTGGTGACTGGGTTTCAGCCATTATGCAAACTTGGGATGGTCAAACTAGTTTATCTGCGACCTCTTAAAAGCAAATATTTTTAAATAGATAACAACTGTAATTAGAAACCGAGTTAAAACACGATAATCTACTCTAAATGATATACAAACTAAGATTACTACAAAATGGATTTATATCACAAAACACAATAAAATAGATATAAAACATAAAAAATATAATTAAAAAATTAAACGCAATAACACAATAACACGAAACAATATTTCTATAAAAAAATGATCCTAAAATTGATTTTTGTGTATTTGTGACATAGGATAAAAGCTATGATGTCACAGTACTATTTTATAATAACTTTTAATAAATGTAAGTTTGTTTTCTTTATAAAATTTTATGGGTTTTCCCACTTAAATAATTTTTAACGGTGCTGGATTATAAGCAATTCAGAATTGGCAACCCGGAGAAGTTCTTTCTACGGCAGGGCCTTAAGGCCTGTGAAAATTTGTAGTGATGTAGTTAGGAACAAATTCGTCTTTTATTTAATTTAGACTATGCAACTTTTCAGTTTTATGTACCAAGCTCTTTATAAGATCCTTTAAAAAGTCTGAATTTTTAAAAATCACCATATATTCACTAAAAAAAACTGCTCAAAAATTTTCTGGATAATTGTAACATCACAAAACAATTAATAGATGAATTCCACAAAAATTAAAAAAAAACTGATAGAAACCTTTTCTTTATGATTCATTATTTTATTTGGCACATAGTCTTAAATAAAATAAAATTATAGCTAATGAAAAAAGCATGGTGATAAAGCTTACTAAGAAAAAAAGGCGTTAAACATTAAATAGCTGAAAATTAGTAATTACAGTTTTCTAATAAACTTTTTCCTTTAAAGGTTTTAGTAATAATTATTTTAAACATTCGCCCGTTGTACCA